ATTTGTCTGCCAATAGCAAGATATCTCAAGAAATATTTTGAGAAAACATAGATTATTCAATTAATATTAATCTATTCCAAAAGTACTAAGTGAAATAAAAGCTGTGTCTTATACTTTTAGTCAAATAAAAGAATATAAATGGAAGTTCAGAATTAAGCTACTGTTTGTGTGAGAGATATACTTTCTTCCTAACTCCTCAGCTTCCACAAATCTTTTTATCTTGCCTTTGCCCCAGGAATATATGTTTATGATTTTCTCTATTTTTGTTTTGCTTGTTGATTGGGGAGGTAGTTAGGGAGCATCTCCCTCACATTTATTCCTAGGACCTCAGATAATCAAGCCAAAATCTTAGTAGTCTTGGAAAAGTCCAGAGTCACTAGATAAGCAGGATATTAACCAATACAACATCCCTGCTACAGGTAGAGTAAGAGAGCAAATATTGAATCCACTGGATTCAGAAAGTGCTTTCTGACAATCAAAACAAAGTATAAATAAATAAATAAATAAATACCTGCAAGGCAGTTTCTGATTTGCTAGTGCTATTGCTTAGGACATATCCTTGCTTCGGTGAACAGTTGGTGTCATTCTGTGAAAGCAGTAGTTGAAAATAGGTCGATGAAATCAAATTAAATGTAGGAAGGAAACAGAAAAAAAAAAAGACCTTGAATTTTTACTGTTAAGAAAATTATTTTACTTTAATACAAGCTGAAAGAGCAAGCTTAGGACATACTTTTCACTCAAGGACAGATCAAGCATTCATGGTTTTTGTGGAGAACCTATCAGTACTTACGGCAGTCAGCTACACTAATTCGGGCTTTTGAACAAATTTATTTACACATGCTTCCTATTCTTTTGCTATATTGCTTTTTATTTGTTATACACCTAGTTACTTCACTGTTCAGTGTGTGTAGGTATGCCACTCTACCTTCCTAACTCTCTGCACTGTGACATCCTAAAACCCAGCTCGTTGTTCCCTAACCAATACATCATTTCCACCATCAGTTATACTCAGTCATATTTTTCTGTTCTAAGGTACCATGGCCATGAAAATGTTGTCACTTAATCTTTTTTTTTTATATGCTTATAAGCATATCTGACTCCTCCATATATTGTAAATTCCTGATCATAGAGATTACATTTATCAGTCCTAGATCCTGGTTGGATGCTTAGTAGCCAAAAGGTGGTCAATATATGATCTCTAGATAAATAAGAATAACATAAATACTGGCAATGACAACAATCAGTTGTATAGAATTTTAAGAAATAGCTAATGTTTAAATGTGGTCAGATTTAGCTATGTTTGAGAGAGATTTCACAAAGGTTATGGATAGCCTTGTTTTTTTAAGATTACTATGTAATAAAGAAATTAAGACTGTAGTAAAATCTTGACTACTTATTCCAAAGAATTTTATGCAGATGCGCTAAACAACCTAAGAAAAACAATTGTTTCTTTTTATGTTTTTGACTTAGACCTGAAATCATATTTCCCTAAAATATCTTAATTATTATGTTCTTATTTTGATAGAATAATTGATTTTCTTTTATTTTTAATACACTTTCATTCAGTCTGAAAAATTAGCTATACAGATGAAATGAAGTGCAACAAAAGCAGTGTAGAAATTGAAGAGTATGAGACTTTTGGAATAATGAAGGTCACAGGCCATCTTGGTTTGGGGAAATGTTTATTCAAATTTTGAAAAGTTGTATTTAAAATAGTTTTTCTCAGATCCTTTATTACACAACTCCTTAAAGTTTTGATCTTGAATGATCTGTCCACATAATCATAGAAAGTAACTGTTAGAAAAGGTAATTTTTCTGTATGATTCACTCCTAGAAACTCTTAGGATGATCTGTATTTTTAATCAGAACTTTCATGGTTCAGATGCATGGTGAATTTTTTTTTTTTTTTTAAGCAACAACATATTTATTTATTTATTTATACAAGAACTGGGGAGGGAGTAGTTCAGAAGTGTGGGGGTTAGATGATTCACCAGAGACAGACTGGGGAACTGAACAGACAGGTCTGCTGAAATATACTGCAGAGGGGAGCAGAAGACAAGACAGGAGGGCTCTGTAGTGCCATGTAGGGTGGCTCCCTGGCTTGGGACAGAACTCAGGCTGCAGCAGTGATAGCATGATAGCACTAAGACATGCAAGGTGAAATTTAAATCCACTTCTTCATAATGCACAAATGCATTTATAAAGCTTTAAAAAGGAGATATGCTGTAACCACTTCTCAAATTTATTTGACCTTAAGGCACTTGTTTTGTTCATGGATCACCACTTGAGGTCATTATCATGAAGAAAACACTAGAATTTGCCCTGAAATGTGCTATTTTATTAGTGCCAACACAGCCAACTATTTGAGACAAGCCTTTGATCATTTGAACAATGAAAAGTTATTAGATTTCAGCATTAAAGAAAATGTTACATGACTAGAAAACACCTCGAGCCTTTTTTGATACTTTGATCTTCTAATGAACACTTTAAATTTATCTTTTCTCTCTGGCTTCCAGGCATTATGGAAACTTCATGGTTGGAGTGTATAAATTCTTAGCTATAAGGACAACGCAATTATAACTTCCATCTGATAACTTTATAGGCTTTGATGAAGCAGGAGTTTAATTGGTAAGAATATTAAAGTAAGTTTTTTTTCTTTTTCCTGAAGTTCTCTCTTGCTGCAAATTATCACCCAGATTAGCAAACATACCAGAAAACATAAAGAAGGCAAGGAATCTAACCCAATTCTAACATTTTAGTATAAAGATAGCATAAAGTATATGTTTGTCTTAGTGGTTAAAAGTGCTTCAGAGTAAAACAGACTTTGGTTCACACTCTAGCTCTGACTTCTATTCACTGCTTCTCTTGATCAAATAACTTGATTAGTTACATATCTCTGCCTCTGTTTACTGGTTATGAAGTGGGGTTAATTCTTCAAATAGTTACTTTCAAGTTGACATGAGAAAAGCCATACAAAATTATTCAGTATAAATACTAACAAGTATTAAGTATTTGTCATCACTTCCCCAGTTCTATTATTATTTGTAGAAATACACATGCATATCACTAGTGGTACAACAGACTAACAATATCAGTGAGTTAACAATGACATTACAAGTAAAAATAGGATGCTACAAAATCCACATTGTAATTTTCACACAGGGATGAAAAGAGAAAAGAGGTAGAGAAATATGGAAGTAATAGAGAAAAAAGTGCTGACTTGAAAGAACACAAAGACATTTAGTACTGACTATATTTGGCACTACAAATACAAATGATAAAAGTAATGCAATTAATATTTTACTTTGGAAAGGAAAATATAAGAAAATAAAAATTACGTCAAGGTTATACAAAACTGTTTCTATATATTTAGCAATTTTTCCAATAAAATGGGCTTTTAGTTATACTGAGAATCACTTAATCCAGTATTAAGGCAAGGGTCTACTTCTATGGAAGGGGCCTTGGAAATGACATAATGACATTCTTAAAACAAAGTCTCTTCATTTAGAGAACCTACACTAGGCAGTGCAGTGAGGTTACTGAGACAAAACACGAACTCATTGTAGTTATGACTATTGTATGAAACTGATTTATAGAGAATGGACAGAATCTTGCAGGAATACTACAACAGTCACTGCTGCAAATGGACTTTCTGATTTTCTTCTTCATGGTAACATCCAGATGAAATCCAGACAACTGAGTTATCTTTATTATCCTTAGCTCCCAGAAAACTAAATTGAGTGTCCAAGAAGTGCTTTATACTTTAATCATCCACTCAACAATGTTTTTTGAGTTCTGACCCTGAGACAGGAGGTAGTGTTTAAGAGTTACAGTCAGGGGAGTGAAAAAGACAGATAAGGTCTTTACATATATTAAAACCTGAATTCCAGTAAAAAGAAAAAAAAGGAGAAATAAACACATGAACAGGTAAATGAGGTAAATGTATACAAGAGAGTACCAGAGGATTACAGGGTAAGGAGGTAAGTACCCTCATCTCATGTACAATGACATCTTCAGTAAAAGAGAGGGCAACAGGCTTCAGGGGCAGACATAATGACTCAACTTCTACTTCATCCAAAACTGAAATCTACCAATATAACCTTCTTGGGCCTTTGTCATCTGAAAACAGGAATTTTGTATTAGAAGTACAAAATTAATATAATGAGCTTATTTAAGGAGTGCAAGTTAGACACACAAGAAATCTTTAGTTTCTTTAGTTGATAAAAAGTTGTTCCTCTTTTGTTCCATTGTTTAATGACTTTTCTTTTTTTTAAGATTTATTTATTTATGCATACAGAACTGGGGTACAGAGGTGCAGGGGCAGTGAGAAGATTCACCAGAGACAGAGTGGGGAGAAGAACAGGCAGATTGACAAAGTACATTCTGAGGGGAGCAGCAGATGGGTCAGGAGTGGTCTCCCATGCCATGTGGGTCACCTCCAGGGCAGGAGATAGAATAGATGCTGAAGTGGCTTTAGCTTCTTAGTGCTGTGATTTAACACACTGTGCCACAAGGGAAGGCCTGTTTAATTTTTTTATATGTCTTTTCATAGGAAGTATTGAACCAGGTAAGATATATAATAAGATAATTCAAGAAAGGTGATTCAGTTGCAACCTAATAGCTGATTTACATATTCAATCTAAATACAACTGTTAGGTGAAATGAGATACAAAAGAGGCATGCATATTTTCTTTAACTCAGGTTTTCATGAACCAAATGAACCTTACCGGGGTAAATTAATAATAAAACAATTTTCGCGACATAGGCCATTATCATCTGTGCTGAAAGTGTAAGATATGCACATCAGCTTTATATAGATGGCTTGTGTTCTATACAGGCGGGACTATCTCACTCATGTAGAACAGAGGTTTTGGTTCAAGGAAAATTACAAGTTCAAGTCTAAAAGAGATTCAAAAGAAGAAAAGCCTTCCATGGCATGAACTAAAGGATGTTTATTTTTTTCTGAGTTTTGCTAGCTAATTAATTTTAGCTTGCAATAACACACATACACACACAGTCATTATCAACAAGGTAATCTAAGTTATTGTGTTTTAAAAACATAGCCTTTAAGTAATATGAAAACAATAATTTTAAGACACATTTAAAACATGCATTTCTTGTTAGAGATGTAACTATGATTTTATGATTAGAACATCTAGGCCACACTTTTCATACTCTTTCAGCTATTAAGAAGAGAAATTGTATTGCAAACATCTTGTAATAGCTGCTTACTTAAAAAATATATTTTATTTATTTATGCATACAAAAGCTGGGGTGCAGGCCAGAGATATGGGTTTGTGAGAGGATTCACCAGAAAGAGAGTGAGGAGGAAAACAGGCAGATTTACTGAAAAACTCTCCCATGGGGTTGCAGAGGGTGATACAGGATAAGTCTTCTGGGTCAGGTGGGTCAGCTGCCAGGCCAGGGATGAAACTCATGCTGCACTGGCTCCAGAGAACCCTATAACACTGAGGCCCAAACCCTTGCGCCACCAGGGAGACCCAGTAATTACGTACTTTTCTAAGACTGTCTTCAATTTAGTGCTGTCTCCATGTTGGACTCTAAAGATATTCATGATTATTGCAT